CACTAGCTGATTAACTCACATGAGAACTGGCTATATGGCTGGGTCAAGGCACATACTGAATTATGAGCTTCTGCAGCAGCATAACACATGAATCAGTCCAACTTGCCCAAAAATTATCTTCAGTATCAGCACCGCCTGCCAACAATCCCTCTGAGACATGACCGGAGCTACTCTAGCAACAGCCACGCCTTGACGTCCGGCCGTCGTGTATATCCTGCACGGTGTAGTTGCTCCACTACTGCAGATAAGAATGGGTCTGCTATATCAATCTCCAACCACGCTAGAAATGAAGGAGAGGTGTGCGACGAATTGTACCTCACGGAGCAGCAGACACTGAATCCTCGACGGCGGCGGCATGTGATGTCGGGATCACTTGCTGGTGCGCATGAGCATCTCCCACTGGCGCCAGATGGGGCGCCGGCACCCCCGAGCATCAACATGTCGGCGTAGGCTCTGTCACAGATCTCCACCTCCGCGCCCCGCCTCATCGAGCTGCGACGCTTCGGCGATGACTCCGCTCCTCGCCCTTCCGCGCAACGCAACCTTGAGCAGCGCTACGACAGCGATGGCTCCGCTCCTCCCCTTCCGTTCCAGACCTCCTCAAGCAGCGCCACCCCCTTCCCTCTCTCGCCGTCGAGATGGTGGTCGCCAGGGAGGAGACTGCCGATGGCAAGCGCGCGGAAGGGGGCAGGTGATGGAGGTTCCTCGGGTGCGAGCTCGGGGAGACGAGCTGCACGGGGCTTGGGCGTGTGATGCGCTACTCACCGGGGATCTGGTCGCCGTCGGGCCTGGGCTCGGCCGCCCATGGGTAGCTGTCGACCTCGATCCGGTCGGAGATGCGTGGCGTCGGGAGGCGCTGCGGGCTCAGCTCACCGGATTCTCGCCGGAGGTGCGCGGGCGTGGCAGCTCTCCTCCGATCGAGAGAAGGAGGATCTGTGAGATGGGAGAGATTAGCGAGTGGGGAGAGAACAACGGATAAGTGAGGATGTGTCGTTCGGGTCGAGCCCCTTTTAGAGCATTATTATTAACCCTCGAACCCTCAAATCCTTAAAGCAGTTTTAAGGGTTGAGAAATGCCATTTTTGACATTTTTAAAGATTGAAAAACAGGAACAAATACTAGAACCCTCAAACCCAATTTTTTTTTTATCGGGGAAACATAGATTCCATTAACCACCTAGCACAACATACTCGCTGGCTACATCAGAGATTACAAAGTCTGGAACCGTACCATGCCACAACATATGAGCACCAGGTTCCATAGACGCACCCTGACCCGCTAATTTATGAGCAACACTATTACATTCGCGGACACAAGATACAGCTTTGTACTCGATAAAACTAGTATACAGCATATACTTGGCCTTCCTAAAGATACTACCGTGTTGTGAGAGATCGTATGCATTGCTACACAGGGCATCCTTCAAATTTGTAGCATCAGTTTCAAAGATGACCCGGCTCATTCCAGCATCTCGGGCAAATTGAATCGCCTGCAAACAAGCAAAAGCTTCAGCTTGGAGAGCGTCAGAAAGATGAGTCAGTCGGCCCATGCCTGCACCCCAGACTGAACCTTCCTCGGTTCTTGCACAGAAACCCCATCCTCCCTCTTGTGTGTTGCCTGAGTAAGCACCGTCAAAATTAATCTTAATGAAATTTGATGGTGGCGGTAACCACCTGCACCTCCTGTTTGTTTTGGTTTGGTTCCCACCCTTCAGGTGTTCAGTAAACTGAAGGATATGTAGGCTGCAATTAGCTGCAACCACATCAGCCGTGGGAGCACTTTCACCAGCATTGTATTTATTTCTTGCTGACCAGATACACCATAACAGGGTGGTTACTTGCATAGCCAATTGGTCCTCAAACTGGAAGATGCAGTCCATTACTTCTTGAGCTGAGGAACATGCTACAAGTTTGAGACGCTGCTCTTCTAGGATTGCCGCACGCCAGCAGGCCCTTGCAAACTTGCATTTGAGAAAAACATGGCCACCATCTTCATCAAGTCGTCGACAACATGGACAGAGCGTATCGATGTCCATGCCTCGGCGTCTAATGTTAGTTCGTACTGGCAGGCTGTTATGTGTAAATCTCCAAAGGAACATTGCAATTTTCTTTGGGACATTTAGGTGCCAGATTTTTCCCCACCGTGAACTGGTCTGGCTTGTCGTAATTGTTGCAGTGCTGGTAGAACAGTTCCCCCCATTCTCCTCTGCTCTCAGCTGCAGATTCAGCTTGTAGGCGGACTTCACCGTAAAATTCCCTTTTGGCTCAGGATGCCATGCTATGGAGTCCTCAAAACCTTCAAAAATTGGGATTGAAAGTACAACTTTGGCGTCTTCAGTGCAGAACATTTGGTTTACAAGTTCCACGTCCCACATACCGGTCACCGGATTAATGAGGTCCTCCACATTCTCCAAAAGGTTTTGGCCACGAGTCGAACTGGGTCGGCGAGTAATTCCTCTCGGCAACCATGGGTCGTCCCAGATCTTGATGTTCTGACCATTTCCAACTCACCACACAATGCCTTGCTTAAGCAGGTCAAGCCCCTTTAAAATACTTCGCCAAGTGTAGGAAATCCCCGCTTTTGGCTTGGCTGCTAGGATATTTCCGTCGGGGAAATAGCGAGCACCCAGCACACGAGCACAAAGTGATGATGGATCCTGAAGGATGCGCCATGCTTGCTTTGCTAACATTGCGATGTTAAAAAGGTGCAAATCACGGAAACCTAGACCCCCATCTTTCTTTGGTTTTACCAACTTATCCCAAGCAATCCAATGCATCTTGTTTTCCTTATCCACCTGGCTCCACCAGTAGCGGCAAATCATTGTTGAGATCTGATCACAAAGAGTTTTGGTGAGATCAAAACATCCCATGGCGTAGGTGGGAATCGCCTGTGCCACCGCCTTGATAAGGATTTCCTTTCCTGCTTTTGAAAGCATTTTCTCCTTCCAGCCTCTAATTCTTTTGCCAGATTTTCTCTTTGAGATACTGGAAGACCCTAGTTTTTGAACGACCAATATAAACCGGAAGCCCAAGATATCGCTCATTTCGACCTTCAGATACAAGATGCAAGGTGTTCATCACTTGAGATTTGCAGCTTGGCGAACAATTCGAACTGAAAAAAATACTGCTCTTATCTCTATTGAGCATTTGTCCTGAACCACCCTCATATGCATCCAGAATTCTTTGTAACTCTATTGCGTTACTATTATTAGCCTTCAGCAGAAGAAGGGAATCATCTGCAAAAAGCAGATGGGAAACTGCTGGTGCCGAGGGACATATTTTTATGCCTTCAATCAGCCCCTGTTGCTCTGCCACATGGAGAAGGGACGAAAATCCTTCAGCACAAATGAGAAAAAGGTAGGGGGAAAGGGGGTCACCTTGGCGCAAGCCTCGCTGCGGGATGATGGTCTCGGAGAGTTCCCCATTGATATTAAACCGGTATTTCACTGTTCGAACACACTTCATCAGCAAAGAAACCCAACTTTGATGAAAACCAAGCTTAATAAGCATCATCTCCAAAAACCTCCATTCAACCCGGTCATAGGCTTTACTCATATCTAGTTTGATTACCATATAACCATTTTTCCTCCCTCTCCTATGTTTGATATAGTGAGTCATTTCATAGGCTAGCAAGACATTGTCAGAGATCAACCGCCCTGGAACAAAAGCACTTTGGTTTGGTGATATGATCTCATTTAAGAAAACCTTCATTCTAGCTGCTAGCACCTTGGATATTAGCTTGTACAACACATTACAAAGGCTTATTGGTCTCAAATCTTTGATACGGGTAGGATTCTTCACTTTGGGTATTAGCACAACTGTGGTTTCATTCCAGCCTTCTGGGATATCACCTCCATTCAGAACCTGGAGAACCTCTAACTTGACTCGATCTCCAACTAACTCCCAGAAATGCTTAAAAAATATTGCAGGCATTCCATCCGGGCCAGGGGCCTTTAAATCTCCAATGCATGATAAGGCTTTAGAGACCTCATCTGCATCGAAAGGGGCACATAGGGAGTCATTTATGGCTGGGCTAATTCGAGGTTCGACATGCTGCAGGAGCCTGTCAATATCTGCAGATACTGAGGATGAAAACAAACCAGAGAAAAAATCCGTAATATACTCCCTCAAAGCACGATCAGATTCCACCCACACACCATCTTCTTTCTGCAACCGCTGAATTCTATTTATTTTTTTCCTCTTGGAACAACATGTATGGAAATACCTTGTGTTGCGGTCTCCCATTTTAAGCCAATCAATATGTGCATGTTGTCGCCAATAAGTATCCTTCTGCTCCTCAAGGCGGTCCAGTCTGTATCGTAGAATTTGTTCTTGCCTTAACTGCACCTCCGAGATTGGGGCACGAAGGCAGCAGTCTAGTTCCTTTTTAGCTTTTTTAATTCTCTTCTCCAAATCACCTAGCACGTTTCGGTTCCAGTCAGTAAGGCAAGAAGCCACATTTTGTAGTGCCTCTGAAATGTGACCCGCTCCATTCAGGAATGCTTCATTCCATGCCCCTTCAACTAGTTGTGCGCAATTATCTTCCTGGAGCCATCGGGCCTCAAACCGAAAAGTATGATGGATATCCTGCGGGTCGGCTCACTTCCCGTATCCACGATAATGGGCCGGTGATCAGAATGTCTTGGCATGCCGTTGGTGACTCGGAAAAGGGGAAACAGGGCCCTCCAGGCTTGAGATCCCACGGCTCGATCAAGACGTTCACGTATATAGTTCTTCCGGCAATAATTATGATTTCGCCAGGTGAAAACATCTCCTTCAAAACCTAGGTCCTCAAGATCACAGTCAATGAGGGCATCGCGAAAACGATCCATAGAAGCTTGTATAGGTGGTGGCCCCCCTTGTTTCTCATGGCTGAATAGAATTTCATTGAAATCTCCCATGCATATCCACGGATGGGGACTGTTATGCTTCAAACTACGGAGAGCATGCCACGACAAATGTTTCGTATCAACATGTGGTTCTCCATAGAAACCTGTAAACCTCCATAACACACCCTCATCCATGTTGACCTCAGCATCAATATAGAAGCGTGACACGCTTAAAATTTTGACAGTAATTCCATTCTTCCAA